TCAAAATGCTGATGAAGAAGAAGTAAGCTATGGAGAGCCACTATGGCCAAAACTATGGTGTTCTTTTGGCCCATTTACTGTATTTTAAAAGTATTATATCAACTTAAATTATGATAATTATATTATATTAACCTAAATTATATCTACTTAGACTAATTATTTGTGGAATAGACAGCCCAAATATTGTAATTACAAAATGAGGAATATAAGATGATAATTTACAAATACTACTAATAAAAGCTCCAGATGTGCCAAAGCTAATCAAGTAATGGGGAAACTATTTCCACTGTTGACACACAAGCAGATACCCCGGAGTACTAAAGTAAATGTTATCGGAACTATTTTCTGGCCAACACTATGTTATCGGTGCCAAACGTGGGCACTTATATCCCCCAATGAACGTAAAATTGTGACAACAGAGTTGAAATGCCTTAGAAGAGTTTCAAGGAAAGACAGAATACGAAATCACGAAATCAGACGAATGCTAGGAATAAAGCCAGTCTTACAAGTCATCAAAGAACAACAAATAAAAGGCCTGGTACTGTCTGCCACAGCGAGACACACTAAAACGTTACAACAGGTAACGTCTGTGACTAATTTGCGAGCCCCAACCATGTACAGTTGGGGGGGGGGGGCAGATACAAAGGGCTTCTTGCCTCTGGTACAGTCGCCGGAGGGAAGAGGAAGGCGCCCCTTGTACCGGGCACTATATTACCTTCAACCACTTATGTGACTTGCTAGATACTACAGAAGAGTTCCACCAAGCAACTCTACCAGTGCAGGCAGCTAAATTAACCAAATTACACTTTCCTCCCCAGGCCTTTTCGCATGAAGTTTAGTCTGGCTGCATTCTCACTAGATGGCCGAACAATTTCTTTATTTATCTTGCTCTTCTCATACGGCTTGGGCGATGGTTAAAAAAAAACAAAACATTTTCAGTTAAGCCTGGCTGCATTCTTACTCGATGGCCGAACAATTTCATTATGTGTCTATCGATATGATAAGTTGTGGTATACAAATAGCAAATGATAACATACCATGGAAGAAAACCAGAAAAATCAAGCAGTGATGAACTGAGGAAATCATAAATAAAAAATATGCAAAGAAAGAAAAATGCGGGGGGGGGGGGGGGGGGGGGGGGGAACACAAAAGAAGTGCAGGAGAAGATAAGAAAACTGCCAAATGGGAGAGAAATTAGAAAACTGTTGTCTTAGAGCACCTTGGATGTTGTACACAGCATGAAAAGAAAGAAGATTCAACTCAAAATTACCATTATATCATTCTGTTTGTTCAATTAAAAAAGGTCAAATTCTATGCAAGGACAGTACACTGCTTGCCAGATGTTGGCTTATATTTCTGCAGCTCATTGTCTGGTGTACTTTGTAACGCCGTTCACTTCCTTGTTTTATGGTAGACAGGACACAGGGGAGAATTTTAGAGAAAACCACCTCCACATGCAATGGCCCTTGTGGGCAGTTAGAGCTGTCTTGTCCCATGGGTCAGCGTATTGCCGTTAGAGACGCCGTCTACAGTGTGCAGAAAAGGACACCAACGTGCAGGGCCTTCAAGGGCTGTAGCAACCCACTCCAGGTAATGTTAAGAACAAAAAATGTATAATAAAATTGTGAATTCGTCCCCTTGTGGAAAGCAAATTTTTGTTATTTAAATTCCCACTCTGGCTTCTGCCGGGAGCTCTGAATTTAGCTGGGGCATAAATATGGCCTAGCCATAAGTAAGGCCTAAGAGCTGACAGAGGTTTCTGAAAACTCTCCAAGGGTGATCCTTATCCGCATGGTGGCACTTTGTGTCACCCGGTGTTTATCGCTTGTGTGATGTCCTGGTGGAGTACAACTAGCGACCTACCCATTACATTATCGCCCTGGAAGTTCCATTGACAGGTTTCTTTTTTTTTAATGACAACAGTTGTTTATTTATATAAAATACTCTACATGGCTACCATTGTTTTCTTCTTATTATTATTCTTCTTCTTCTCGTTCACCAGCTGTAAACTCTGGTGGAAATTTCTTGTTGTTTATTCACTTCTGGACTCCAGTCCTGTTCCAGAACCTGAGTGTTGCGTGTGCATCCGTTTTACAGATCTGACTCATTTGTATGCAGACTGCTGGTTCCTTGCCTCTCAGGCAGATGAACTCCGACTTCGAAGAAAGCTCCCAATTAGTCGACTCTTATGACATGCTTTTTGGTACGCAGTGGGTCTATTCTTGTTTTCCCTATAATAGGGTCCCGGAACCCACACGGGGAATCATTGTTTTAACAACACATTACGATGATTATCCTCTTGAGGCATAGCGTCCGCCTTGGGTGCTGGAGGTCCCAGGTATGGGTCTCGGTAAAGGCTAACATATTTTAACGTGGACTTCTAGTAATACCCCTGGTCTCTGGGTAGTAAGATCGGACGCCCGTGTGAAATGTTGCGCACCAGTTAGGCACCAAAAGTGAGAATGCATGAATAACTTTGTCATGAATATAGAAGCTAACCATCAAAACAACGAATCCAGAAAGGTTTTTTTAAAGAACTGAAGGCTGTCAAACGAGGGCATCAACAAAGCCTTTATAGTTTGAAAGATCTCAATGTAAACATGACAAATAATAATGAGGAAATGTGTAACAGATGGAAGAAATACTTGTCTGAATTGTTAAATTGTGAGACTCCGTTTAATACTTATCCACAAGAAGAGATATTGACATGTGAACCAAATATTGAAGAGCCTGATTTTGAAGAAGTACTGTATGTCATAACAAAGCTTAAAATCAAAAAAGCAACTTGTGCTGATGGAATTGCAGCTGAACCTATAAAAAGAAGGTGGTCATGCGTTACATGTAATAACCATTTAATCCAGTTTTGTCCTTTTAAGGACGAATTTGTTTCTTTTTTGAAGCCAGCTTTTGCCAGGGGCCGCAATATAGGCTGGCCATAAATTTGGCCAATTGTCTGAACGCGGTTTCTGGGACCTCTTCACGGCGATCCTCACCCGCATGGTGGCATATTGTGTCATCGGGTGTTTATCGCTTAGGTGATGTCCTGGTGGAGTAAAAAGTCAGTAGTTACATGTAAAGATATATGAATTAATGAAACTAGTTTGGAAGACGGAGAAATTACCCCATGAATGGAAAGTGTCTTTATTAACACCCATTTTTAAGAAAGGAGACAAGTATAAGTGTGACAATTATAGAGGAATATCGACGGTGCTGCTAAACACGCTAAAACTATACATCGAAGAGATATTGGGAGATTACCAAGCGGGTTTCCGACAAAACAAATCAACGATAGATCAGATATTCATTTTACGGCAAATAGCAGAGCAGAGTTGGGAATATAGAAGAGATGTACATAATGTTTTTGTGGATTTTAAAAAGGCGTATGATAGTGTACATAGAAGCAGTTTATGGAATGCTAAGAAGGACTTTGGAATACTAAAGAAGTTAATTACCATGACTAAGCTATGCATAGAAGACACTTTTAATATGGTAATAAATAAAGGCAGAAAGTCAGACCCTTTTCAAATAACATTTGGTTTAAAGCAAGATGATGCTCTGTCCCCACTTCTTTTCAACTTGGCCCTGGAGAAAATTATAATGAAATTCAAACAAGAGTGTATGTACTAAAGGAGAATCTACAAGAATACTTGGATATGCAGATGACATTGGTATCGTTGGAGTAAATTAACTAATTTCTTCCTTATTAATTTTATCTTGTCGTGTTGCTCGGGTATCTTTTCTTGGACATCTCAAATCTGATGTTATGATTTACGATTTGCTCTATAAAACTCTCAAGAACTATGTTTCCCTTAAAATGGCAAAGATCTGCAAACGCGCATGCAGTCCGTACAATTGTTGTGAAGATAATAAATGGTCAGAAGGTACTTGTTTCCAAATAGTCTATAATGCAGTACAGTAGTGGTCAGACGTGACGCTCTTGTTTACGTTTACAGCCGTGTTTTCCACTCTCTACAGGACATTTGCTGTGAGCAGACGTCACAAGACTGTTCGTTTGTGTATCCATGGGAACAGCTGAAAATGTTACATCGCAACTGTTCGGGACAAAACGAGTGTAACATCCAGACTGAACGATGGGACATGGAAACTGTGCAGTGCCCTGCACCAAACACGCAGCTTTCTAGTCAAACCACTCTTAATTACGTCTGCATTAATGGTAAGGGGTAAAGCTATTTCAGTTGCTTGGAAAATAGACGATTTTATAGTATTCATGTGTTCATCGCTTGGTTTGATGTCCTGATGTGGTTGAACATGAGTCAGTCTGACGTCTGCAGCAATGAACCTCGAGGGCTTGGAAGGCTGAAGAAGAACCAGTAGACGTTTAGGAGAGCTGTCGTGGGTGGGTGTAGTGGATGGGAAGAGCAGTTAACAGCGTTAGGTGAACACAATATGCACACAATATTCAATAAATCAGGTGCCGTCTCCACAGTGAAGGCTGGCTGCAATGGATCTCCAACACGCTCTGTCTCTTGTCCTGGTTGTACACTCTCTCAGTCTGCTGTTTGTCCATCTCTTTATGTTGTCCTCCCACTTGTATCGCTGTCTATATCTTGCTGTCTCGTCTTCGACCTTTCCCTCCAGTATAGTTTTTAAAATCGTATCATGTCTTTAATGTGGCCAAAATATTTTAATTTTTTTTTTCTTTTCCTTTCTGTAATTCTCTTTTCATTTGGGACCTTTCCAGCGCCTCTGTACTAGACTGTTTTTGTTCCCATGAAATACGATTTATTCTTCTGTGTATCCACATTTACAGAGACTCCGTTCCGTTTATTTGTTTCCCGTTCAGTCCAGGTTTCTGCACCATACGGCAGGATTAAGTGTACATAACATTTGACGATTCTCATTTTTAATGTGTTATTTATAAACAATATTATATTTTCCCTTTTTCTTCTTTGTCCTTTTTTAATCAATAACAGCGCTAGTCTATGATTGTTTATTTGAACACTTCTAAACTTCATTTTTAAAAATAATTTTCAGACAGCATGGTTGCAGAAATCTGCAGTGCCAACGAAACTATCATCCAAGGTAGAACATTATTTGCACTGATGGACTCACGTGGTCAACATAAACCAGTCGCAGGAAGTGTATGTACATGTATAGCAGAAACCGTCAAGTGGCCAACAGCTAACACAATCACCGTGTTTATGGTTGACGTTCGTTTGAATAGCCTGGCTTCTACGGAATGTTCTAACGTGTCTCTTTCAGTCAGGTACCCAAAAACTGTCACCAGTGTGAATTGTACTGAATAGATGCTTCCTGTTTTGCACTTGTACTTATTTAACATGATACTTGTTTTTGAAGTAAATTATTGCAGGATATGTAGTTTAACTTACTTTACCAAAGAAGTTACCATAGTTTAAACACACCCCCCCCCCCCCACCACCACCACACACACACACTGAGACAAACTTACAAATAAAATTTTTCAGCTACCACCAATAAATGAGATGATGTCACAACTTTGCTATTCTAAAATTTAAAAAAAAAAATCTTTATATTGTAATAAATCAAACTACTTGCATTACAATAGATTTGTCAAGTTAGTAGGAGCCAGAATAAGGTCCGAAAAAAAAGTATAAACAGCTGTTTATAGTAATTTTTAGTATAGTTTTCTTGTGCTAGGATCAGTTGATGATAATTTCAGACGAATGTCTGGCATTGCGTTATCTCAGCTTGCGTATTTGGTTTTGGTAGCTGTATAAGCGTAGAAACCCGCTTCCCATAGATATATACTTAGGAAAGACAGCAACACTATTTTGCTTTCTCAAAATTTTGAATTCATGCTAAACACACTCAGTATCTATTTAGAGTCATCAAGCACCTTCTTTGGTTAAGCTGTTGGAAAATACTGCTCGAACCGGTTTTGCAAAGCTTCGAGATAAGCCTGAATATTTTACTGCATTTTTGCTTGAGCCTTGATGTTATGTTTATTAAAGAAAATTCTTTGTAAGAGGGAAGTAGTCGATATTTTTCCTTTCCACCCCAATAGTTAGTGTTTCATCTCAAAAGAAGATACTTTGGAGCGTGCATGATAACAACAACAAAAACTTGGCGTTCTTCCTTGCAATGATAGATTAATTTTGTTCATTTTTGTAGACCCAATATACCAGTTTGCTCATCCAGTACTCATCGTTTATGATCATTGGCGCTTACTGTCAAGGCACAGGATGACGATGATACATAACATAATGTTCATGCTTTCTCCTGCCACGTTCGATTTGCCTTCTTATTGTGACTTCTGCTGCTCTTTATTGTTACCATTTAGTCTTTGCGTGTCAGTGTAATTCAATGAAGTGTCCCTGACTGTCTCATTTGAAAAACAGGTAAACAAACAATGAGTCCCAGCACAATCCAGAAATAGGCGCTGGCAGAAAATACATATTTTAGTTGCTGGAGGCGCAAAAAGCCAACCTTTGCCACCAGAAATGCAGCTTCCGTTGATGGAAGTAGTCGGGCACGATAAGGTGGCTATACACACGTACAATTATTACATAAGTTTTTTCACCAGCTCACACTTCACCGGTAACCGGCCATGTTGAAAACCCCGACACAAGCGCTGCACAAATTAAAGACATTCCATATGAAAAACACAGTTTACATGGTGGCACAGTGTACTAAACTCAGGCAAAGAAACCGTAGACTACCGTCTATATGTAGAAATTGCATTAGCAAAGCGCTGTCGAAAGCAAAAATAACATCGAAGCTAAAGATTCTGCCATTTTGTTACCCGCAAACATGCTAATGCCCACAGCTTCCTGGGATACATACAGGCATGGTAGGCACTGACTAGGACAGAAAGCATTCATAATTAATTGTTACGGATTAGTTGTAGTAGTTATAGTAGTAGTAACAGCAGCAGCATCAGCAGCAGCACATGCCAGTGGCAATGCGTCTATGTAAGTATTCTTCCTCTTCTTAGTTCACCATGTGTAAGCTGTGGCATAAAGTCATGGTCGCTCGTCCATTTGGACTTTTGCTTTGTGCCAGGGCCTGAGTTTTGCGTGAACATCCGTTTTACTGACTTATTTGTGTGCGGTTGGTTGTTCGTTGCCACTCGGAAAAATGTACTCCGACTTTGAAGGAAGTATCAGTTAGTCGAATCCTAAGACATGCTTGTTGGGGAGGCAGTGGGTCTATTCTTGTTTTTCCCCACAATAGGGCCCCGGAACTCACACGGGAAGTCATAGCACTGATATATACACGTATATTCCTTACCATAAACTTTCTCCACGTTATTAATATTCTCTTGGATGTCACTGTCTGATCCACTACACTCTGACGTATCATCTGGTCCCACTTTGACTGCTGCCTACAAATCTTTTCAGACCGATATGTTTGATTGTCTGGACACTGGTACTCTCTCATAGGACAAATTGCGTTTAACGGAACTAACTGTTTCTGATGTCAGCACTTTTTGTGGAGGTGTCCTAGTGCTTATCTTGAAGATATTAGGTGGCTTTGTGGTTGGCTGATTGGTATGTAAGTAATGTAAGCAGTGCTCACATACACAGATTGTTAAAATACAGTTTACTTTAAAATTTCAGCTAGCGGATTAGACAACATAGCATGAGCAGCCGTAAGAACCACTTTTTTATTTTTATTTCACTTCTTGCTTGACCTATTATTACATGACCAACATATAAGTCAAGAGATTAGTTTTCATTTTAGGGGGTTTTATCCCAAATAAGTCAGTCTATCTCCGCGAGCGATTAGCCACCTGAAAAGAGAGTCGCACACACGCGAACTCCTTATCTACAGCGGCGATCTACCACATGAACCGTATTTCGCAGACCGTTAAATAAACTAACGACCTTCGGAGCGCGAGACAAACAGGGAGACTCCAAATGGCTATGATCGCTAAGATTGGTTACTAAGGTAAGAGTACCACAAGAACTGTCACTACTGTTTGTGTGTATCACTTTTAGGGGTGGTGTAGTCTGAGGGGTCGTACGCCTGTGAATTTAGTGCTGTCGCTACGGACTGTGCAGTTGGATGCCTAATTTTTGCCAAGAAAAGAAAAACTCCATCACCTTACCAGGGATCGAAGTCGAGTCTGCCGCGAGAGAGCCGGAAGTTGCAACCGCTCGGCCATCCGTTCCTCGGTTAACGTACACTTTTTGAATAAATAAAAACTGTAACTGTTGACAGATCTGGAAGCAACGATAAGCCGATACATTGCCAAGCCACGACTGACCCACGTACAAACCTGCCCTTTGTGACCGTTCTCAACAACAGTAACGTGGCCAACTTGACCCTGGAGATCCATCGTCTGTTGCCCGAGTTCGTCTGGTTGGGATTTGAAGGTGAGCATCCAGTCTGTAGCTTGGAGGTGAGCGAACGCGGTTAACACTTTCGTGAATTTCGTTAAGTACTGTGTGGGGCATCCAGTCACGAGCTGGTTTTTTTTTTTTTTACTCCATTCACGAAAGAAAACTATTTTTTAACACTGAAATTAATGCTCATTCTGTGAAACCGTTAGTCGGCCCTAAAAACATGTTGTTTCTTGATTTTATAATGGAATTAACGTGTGATTTTAAAAATGGTGCTTTATTAATATCCTACCCCAAACAGGGGAAACCCACTGGTCACGGGACAGTCAAATGTTTCAGGGGGTGGTAGATAGGCTGTATGCAGTCGTGTGACCTAGGCTACATGCAGTCGTGGGACCTCGGCTGCACTCTCTCGTGGGACGTAGGTGGGTTGGGGTTAGGGCCAGTTCTATATATTTTGGGGTCGTTAAACGCATCAGAAACCAAGTCTTATCACCCTTTAAAATGTTGGACTGCCCTGTAATTTCCTCTGAGGGTAGGATTTTACGAAAGAACATATATATATATATATTTGTACACAGTGTAACTTTACGGTAGTTGTTGATTGTGGCTGGCACAGGTAGATGGTACAGAAGGTCGAGGAAGACTGTTCCTTCCAAGAAGAGTCCTATTGCTTGATAACACTGCCAGCTGTGTTGGTATTTCTGGTGTTGCCTTGTCTGTCTCTCTTGTTAGTATCATGCAAAGTCATGCGAATGCTGACTCAGGGGCTGGTGTTTTCACAAGATAATAACATGTGTCTTTTTTTTTTTTTTTCGAAAATGGAACATCACATTGTCATTTAAAATCACCACTGCTCGGCTAGTCATAATTTTGTTAGGGTTTTATTTTTCAATAAAAACCTGCAATTCGCTCCACTTGCTACAAATTTGGTTAATCTCAGCACTTGAACTATCTTATTGCTTCGTCCTGCTCCCCTCCTGCGTGCTCTTGCTGTATAACTTTTATTTGTTCACCTTGCAAGTTCTTCTGTGTTGAGTTCTTGTCTGTGGTCCTCAGTCCGCTCCATCACATCCTCCTCGTTGACCTCCAAGTTGTTCACGAGTCGAAAGTCATGTGTGTGCGTTCTTACGCTGAGGCACTGTATGCATGCACGCACACACACACACATACATACATACATACATACATACATACATACATACATACATACATACATACATACATACATACATACATACATACATACATACATACATACATACATACATACATACATACATACATACATAATACATACATACATACATACATACATACCTACCTACTTACCTACATGCCTGCCTGCTTGCCTGCCTGCTTGCCTGCCTGCCTGCCTGCCTGCCTCCGTACGTAATCTACGTACCTACCTACCTACCTACCTACACACACACACACACACACGCACGCACGCACGCCGGCCGACCGACCGACCGACCGACCGACCGACCGACCGACCGACCGACCGACCGACCGACCGACAGACAGACAGACAGACAGACATGGTTAGGCCTGCCACATAAAGAAATTGTCTGAGGGGGTAATACCCTCCTAAAATATTGGTGAGGGAGGAGGCAAAAGTTCTGAGGCCCCTATTAAGCCATGATTGCTGTACAATTGACCTATTATTACATTTCCTTTTCTTGTGTGCTTAAATATTTATGTTGTACTGTGTTCTTGCTTTTTTCTCAACTTTACAGCAAACGTGAACGAGGATATACAGCTGACTTGCAAACTTCAAGGTCTGTTGCCATCGCCAACAGATGGCAGCACTCTGCAGGACCTGGACGCCATCTTTGACAGCAACGCTCCTGACGTTGTTGCGGGTATTGCAAATTCTACTAGAAGTTTGCGAGAGCTTACTTTAATCAATACAACATTTTCAAAAATTATGTAGGTTCCTAGCCTTAACCAGCCTTGAATGGGTACTAGGTAAAGTACTGGGATGTAAAGGCGGGCCGACATTGTTTTGATCGCATCACCCCATGAGGAGGGCGTATTTCCAGACCGATTGGTCAATAAAATATAGATCAAGCCGTATATGCCCAATACGCCTGGCGGCGCGGGAAATATTCTTTATCACGTAGCGGGCTCTTTACAGCCCACCTGTCAGGAACTTAGTCCCTCAGCAGCTGCCCCGCCTCTTGCGCTTTCCTGCTTAAGGTGTCTTTTATGCCTTCTAAGTTGTCTTCTTCTTAGCGTGCACCGGCTGTAAACTCCGGCGGAAAGTTCGGGTTGTTCGTTTACTCCTGGACTTTGTTCTTGATCCAGAACTTGAGTTTTGCGTGCATATTCGTTTTACGGATCTGGCATATTTGTTGGTTCCTTGCCTTTAGGCAGATGCACTCGAACTGCTAAGAGAACCCTAATTAGTCGCCTTCTACGACATTTTTGTTAGGTGCCAGTGAGTTTATTCTTTGTTTTCTAAAATGGAGTCCCTGAACCCATACGGGGATCTTCTATGCCCTGTCCACACTTTCGTGCGATCCACCCTGCCTCTCTTTCACAGTGCCATGCCCTCCATTCCTGTTCTGTCTCAACTAATGCGATGTTATGATTGCGTATGTCTCTGACATTCTTGTCTAATGGTTTCGATCTTGTTGACTGTCTATCATTTCTGATATCACCATCATCATCATGCGCCCTGCCAACTGGCGTAGGCGCTCGTGCGTCTCCATAGATCACGATCCCTTTTTGCCTGAAACAGCTTTTTTGATGATATCCTTCCATGCCATCGTTTCAGCTCCTCCAGCATCATCTCTCTTGGTCTGCTTCTACCCCATTTTTCCACTGATCTTTCCAGTTTTAACGATGTTCTCCAATGTCTTTCTTCTCATTATGTGGCCAAAGAACAGTGTTTGTCTCTTTCTTATTGTTGTATATAGAGAGCTACTTTCTTTAGCTTCTTTGCAGCAATCGTTGCTAGTTACTCTGATCGTCCAAAGTATTCGTAACATTCGTCTCAGAAACTACATTATTGTTGCTCCCAGATTCTGATGTAGCTGAACTTTTATGTCAGAATTTAAAAATGTCAAATATTTTGAGGCATGCATTTAAGGGTTGTTACCGCCGCTTACATTTGCCATTGCAAAAAAAAAAATAATATTTATTACGAATATTCAGCTCGGTTTACGTCGTTCTTGCCGAGCACGTAAACAGAGCGAAAAGAAAGCTCGCTCCATGCTTACGCCACTCATGCAGAAACTGTACAGGTGAAAGCTACCAGTTACTAGTACCATTCCATCTATGTCCGCATACTGTCAAAAGCTAAGCGACGAGGACAGTATCTCGTTATACCCTCTGCAGTGTAATCATTACTTGCTAAAGTGTACACATGCAAATTGATCACGCCTCGCCGCGATGTCTTGAAAAATCGTTCCTTTAAGTCTAAGGCGGTCTATCTTCACCTCCAGCGTTACTGTTGTCCAGACCTATTCCACCTTCACCCTTCTTATCACGTACCCAAAGAATGTGGGCTGACCACCCGTATTTAGGGTAATGAATTTTTTTTTCTGTTAAAACGTCTTCATCATTACTCCTTTTATTTGTTCATGGTATTCTTATTATACTTATATAAAACAATGTCTCTGCAGCTTCCATAAAACTGTTAACTGAGCAGCTGATTACCCATGGTTGACTTCTTTACCAAATCTCTTTAAAAAATTATTGAGAATCTTCAATTAACAAACAGACTGCGCCCAATATAGTCGTTTGTAAAATGCTGCTTTTGCTTGTAAGCTTTTTCAATACATCTATGTATGTATGTATGTGTTTGTGGTTTTTTCTGGTTTTTTTTTTTTTTTCATTATTATTGTTTATACCTATTAACTTGCTTCAGAATTGTCCCATTTCCTTTCATGTTGGATTTTGGACGATAGTTTTTCTTTGTAGTAAACATTGCATGTTTCTTTGCGTTGTTCAAAGTAAAACCTACATTCCGACTTTTCTGCATTCGGCAAACAGTGCAGTAAGCGTTGAGAAAGCCATGCATCATAGACTGGGTCAACTTGGGAACTAAGGTCATTAATAAAAAATTCGTCACTTCTCCGAATAATGGTCCCAAATTATCGAGGTTAAAAACATATCATAACAAGGCCAGGATAGGTCATAAAATAGAAATACTAGAAGCTTGGAACAAAAGTGTAAGAAAAAGAGGCACACTTACCGATAGTAGTTAACAGTCATATCTTATAACTGTGGGACAAAAGTTGTAAATACTGTCCGAAAACGTGGTCTTTGTGACTGTGCTGCAACTGAAACTCCGCTACATATATAGTAAACAACGCGCGACTAGTCCCGCCTTGGTTAAGTAGCTTCCTTTTCAGTTGCATCCATAACTCTTCAATTGTTTGGGTGTGAATGTCACTGTGTATTGAGGCGCTGTTAGGGTATGTTTTTAACCTCCATAATTTGGGACCGTTATTTGGAGGAGTGCCCAAAATTCAGTTTCCATAGGGATTCGAACCCAAGATTTTTGGGTCGACACTGTGCTGCCAGGGCTGGGCTGTCGTATTTTAAAAATTATCGAACATTTATATATATTTACAGTTTTCTGTTATTGCAGTATAAATTATTTAAATTCTTTTATCTTGTCTATAATTGTACTTTGACATACATTTCTTCAATAAAGTGTTGTTTTTCTTAATCAGAAAAGTCAGAAAAGTCACGCTTGCCAGCTCTCGTTGGAGGTATCTTAGCGGGTGTTATACTAGTCACAGCTGTGGTGGTTATCGTCATCGTGTGGATTGTACGGTGAGTAACACGGCCTTCTCTATTTATAGGCCAACTTTGTCAACGGGGATTCCCGTTCTTGTGCACGAATGAAGTCCCTCTGTGTTAACAGTTTTTATCGAGGAGATGTATACACAAATTAAACTACAGTTTAATTAAGGAGGTACCACAATATATATTGTATGTGTGTGCGTGTGTGTGTGTGTGTATGTGTGTGTGTGTGTGTGTGCGTCAAATACATGCTCATAATACCCCCCACGCACGCACACTGGACAGGTAAGTGTGTAAGCTAAGGTGCCCCCCCCCCACGTCCGACTTGAGCCCCGATACAACTAGTTTACTGGGGAAAAAGGTTTTTGGGGTCTGCTTCTTTCTGATGCGTATCCTTCTTTTTTCTTTTTCTTCTGTTTTTTCTTTTTCTTTTTCTGCGATTGGCTTCAAATGCTCAGGTTATCCGTTGTGTTTCCTCCATGACCGGCACGTCAGCAACAAGTCTCCAAGGGTTCCCCCAAAGTTTGTCCTGGATGCCGATTCCCTCTAGCCAGCGTTTTCTCATAGGTGTTGCTGTAATGGGCAGTTCTGCACTATGTACTCGGGTGTTTGGAGAGCAATTTGGCAGGAGCACTGGGCGGATTGTCTAGCCTTCATTCTGTGGATGTGTGCGTTTAAGTCCACAGTGCCCTGTTCTTGGTCGAAACATTATGGTGCATTGGGTCGTCTGGGTGTTTGCTGTTGTTTTTTTTTTTCGCCGTTCCAAATCCAGAAGTTTCTGTACTTCTTCTTGATCAGTATTTTTACCTATTTTTGTGATATGGGATATAGGTAGTGAATACGTATCCCTTACGCCGTCGCCACCCCCTCTCTACCCTCCCCCTCTTCCCCCCCCCCCCAATTGCTTTGTTCAGTCACTGGGTGTCAATACTTTAAACTGGCCGGCCCATGGATCACGCAGACATTGTCATTGCCCTTAGAGAGATAGGACTTTCTGAGGATTTTGGAAGCTAAGAGTACGAAATTTGAGAGTAAAGATCGGCACAGTCAAGCATGAGAAGCACACCGGACACACACGAAGTCTTGTTAACCAACATAGGACTAGCACTATTAACCGCGCGACGATGATGAATATGTTCAGAATGGAATCTGAGCGCCTATGGATGTGTCCGGAGTGCTGTGAAGATAATGTAACGCATAACTCATAACTCATACTTCAAACTGCAGTCAACGCCAGCAATAGCACTAATGTTGTAACGCTAGTAATTCTTGTCGCGATATGCAGATCTGGCGTAGCTTTCTGTTTGTGCTGTTCTGCTGTTTAATTCAGGCGATCAATCTAGATTTATTGTCACTTGAGCTACGTGGCGTTGTATGACTAGTAACTCAACTGGCTTATATTGTCTCTGATGTGTCCTAAACTGAAAGGAAATGAGAGATCACAGAAAAATACAAAGGTGCTAAACTGAAACTGAAATAGCACGGAGCAGAAGAAATAATTAAAAACAGCAAACGGAAAACATTGCAGCCAAAGGTCTTCTTAAGCAAACAAACGCAAAGCACAAATAACAAAACAAACGCACGAAAAATAATCTGATTGTGTTCATTTATTTGTTCAACTTTTTTGTGTGTGTGTAAGGGGATGTGGTTCAGGTCTGGGCTGCTTGTAGACAAAGTTGTGACACCCTGAAAGCTTCTGTTTTCTTTGGTCATAAGGTTTTTATAGAGTCGAATTTCTATACTAAGTGCTTTTTCAATTGTTTATGCTCATATTTTCATCAGTTATCTTAATTATCTTTTTTTTTAACCTTTCTAGAAAAAGAAAGCGCTCTACGCCAAATACTAACACCGAGGAGTCGCTGCCTGAATACGACATCACATACTACACTACAACAGATGAAGCTGTGAGAAATTTCCAGAATGCTCCAGAAAGACAAGGTTTAAAAGATGAACACGACTCATTTCCGGTACCACATTGTTCCAGTTGTTGAAGTATCTCGTTGTAAACTTGCCGCGCTACGACGCCACATTCTTGCTGAAAAAAAAATCTTTTCCTTCCCCTACCGCTTCTCAGTACATATCACGAACAACCGCCTTCTCATTGTGTCGCGAAAATCACCGCATCTCAGCGGGCGTGAGATTTCGTGTCGGCTGCAGTTCATGCTATTCCTGTGGGCTGTCCTATGTTCTAGGGGTGTCATTTTATGTTATTTGTAACGATGTAGGCATTCTTCAATCCACTTACATCTACACACTCGGTCCTTTTAGGGTCCAATAACCCTCCCCCACCCCCCCCCCCATTTTCCCAGAGAGACTCCATTTTTAACGACCCGCCCCAAAATGCCACCAGTTGTGAGACCAGTGACGGTAGCACAAGAGACCTAGTTTACACCGAAAAGAAAACTCATTCGCGCGCACACACACACAGACGAACACACAAGCACATACGCACACACACACACACACGCACGCACACGCACACACAAATCTGGTCGCCACAAAAAGAGAGCTGTGCTCTTTCGTGTCAGGCCTCACACGAATGACAGCCGGTTTTCCTCACGGTGTGCATAGACGACGAAGGAGAAGGAACGCATAAGCTAATACCCCTAGAACATAGGACAGCCCGTGGGAACGACCACGGCATGAATGGGAGCTGGCTAATTTAATACATACTGTTGGTTCCTAGCCTCACAAAAAGATGCCTACCGACTTTCATGGAAACAATTTGTTGCGTTTTACGACATGCTTGTTAGGAAGTAGTGAGTCTACTCATTCCAATACCCACAACCCCCCCCCCCTCCACCCCAATGGGGTTTCTATTACTCAGCAGTGTATAACCCTCAACAGTTTAACCAACAGTCTATATAAGAGCTATACAACTGGCTGCTTGCGGAAGCTCTGCAACTGGCCCGTGGATCATTGCCTGTTGTTGTATTGTAGTAGTGATCTGTCTACGTCTGATGTTCTTTTCGGCCCATTCAAGTGTGCGAGGTAACTAGCAGACTGATAAATTAGTTGCTGCCGCTCCTCTTATAATAAAGAGGACGTGGTGAAGGTTCTCTGGAATTAAACCGACAGGGAAATAGAACAGACAGAGAATTCATAAAATGATAGACTCATTCAACGGGGGTAAGTAGAGGTTCTGGAAGCTGTTCTACACTGAGAGGGAAACATCTGCTGACTTTTAATCTGTTTGCAACTGTTACTATTAGAATGTCGACTCTTTCATGTCGATTGTTGAATAATTTATTCATTCATTCTACGCTGAGTCTCGGGCCTTTGGCACACGATAATCCTCATTTTTGAAGATGTTTGCCTCTGAGTGAGTAGCCCCTAAAGTTATATGACCAGCCCTGACTTATATCATAACATGTTTCCTACCCGTGTGGGTTCTGGGGCCTCCTTGTAGGGGACACATGAATAGACCCGCTGCCACCCCAATAGGCGTGTCGTAAGAGTCGACTAACTTGGCGCTTCCTTCGAAGTCAGAGTGCAACTGCTTGAGAGGCAATGAACCAACAGACCGCATACAGAAAAGTTCTATCTGTAAACCAGATGTGCATGCACCACTCAGGCTCTGGGACAAAACTAAAGTCAATAGGAAGTGGACGAACAACCAGAGCTTTCCGCTTGAGTTTACAACCAGTGAGCATAAAAAAAAAAAAGAAACAGATAAAATGTTTTCAACATCCAACAAGTTCAACTGGCTTTCTGTATCATAAAATATTTCTAATTTAACTAAGTTTCACAAGATGTCCCTTGTTCGTGTTCTTTCAGCAGGAGTTGTACGTTTCTGCCGAGGAGGTAATTGCAAATAAACGTAAATCTAATCCTGTTCAGAAGACAGTTGTACCCGCCATTGGTTACTCAGTTACAGCAGAAGATGATTACGTCACTAATTTTGAGGTAGGTTGGTTTCATCTTTACTTGTTGCGTATCCTTTACAGGACGTTGCAGAACCAACCCTAACAGCTCCTGGCTGTTGTGTGGTCTCTTTAGGCAAATTTACGTCCAGTAGTTTGCCATTGCTTTCTGGACGATCGGCTTTATTGATACCACTGTCGAAACCAACGCAAGGCGCATTGCCCGCAGCTGGGATCAAACCTGGCATCCCGGTATTACGAAGCGAAGCGTTCGCATCGACTTAGCCACAGAGCCGACTTCATCTTTACTAACTAATTAAATTAGGGAACGATTTCCCCTCATTGAGACTTACTGGGCATAGGATGTAGACCCATATGTGTACAGATCAAGTGGTACTTGCTGGGTTATGTGGTCAATACATATGCATTTATGTTTATATATAACGTCCCAACGAACATCAATAAAATTACATCTCAAAAGATCATTATTTAAAACTGGATAGATGTGCACATATCTATACAGTCGTCTCATGTGGGTCCAGCGCCCCATTGTGGGGAAAACAAGAATCAACCCACTCATCCCCAACA